GGAAGAAATGGAACTTACCAGTACTTATCTCTTAATTTTATTTATTTATTTATTTATTTATTTATTTATTTATTTATTCATTCATTCATTCATTCATTCATTCATTCATTTAAATGTATTGGGGTCGACATTGGTCAATAGGGTCAAATAGGTTTCGAGTGTACATTTCTACGGTACGTCATCTGTTTATTGCGTTGTGTGCCCACCACCCAAAGTCCAGTCATCTTTCGTGACCATATATGTGGCCCCCTTTACTCTTGACTCTCGAAGAGAAAATGTGGATAAAATTGGCAGGAATAAACCCCCAGGGGTGAAGCTGGGAGCTCCCTCTCACCCTTCCTCCCCGGGAGGCTATGCACTCAAGGAGCACTTGATGGTACACAGACTGCCCTCGGAGGAGTGGGTGTGGCCACTAAACTATTGGGTTTTTGTGTTTCTCAGTCTGGTTGACTTCTTCATGAGTTTTTACTTTTATGCAGGCAGTATTTAGCTTCTCCCTAAAAATTGCTGAATACATATTTAAATATCATTGTGCAGTGGGTACTGAATTAGTAGCCCGAACAAGCATATTTGCAGCTCTGGGTTCAATCCTGGTTTTAAATATTTATATTCCACACTGAAGTATATAGGAATAAAGAAACACCTTGTCTGTAACTCATTCTTAAAAGTTTTGGGAAAAATCATAACTATATATTTACACACAGATGTGTACACATGCAAAGGAAAGTATAAAGCAGATGTAGCAAAAATGTTAGCATTCAGGGAATCTGAGAATTCTTTGCATTCTTTTTGCAATTTTTCGGTAAGTCTAAAATTGAAGAACTAAAATAACTGTTTTCAAACTTAATGTCTGAAGAAAAAGTACATTAAAAGTTGCTTGAAAACTTGGTAAATATCTGGACTAGATAATGTAAAATGTCCCTGCACAGTTCTATAATATATGTACCTATAACTGACAAATATATTTCCTCGATCATGTGAGTCTAGATTGTTCTTTAGACCAACTTATTAAGTTGGGTATTTTTCTCTTTCTTAACTTTTTTTTAGAAATTCATAAGAAGTATAGATATTTTTGGAGAACTAATATAAAATAAAAAGTCATCAAGATATCTTTTTGTCACTGTTACCACTGGGTTACATTTGCATGAAAGACCCACATTAAAGGGCCATCAAATGTCTCTTTAGTTTTGCAATGTTATGTGTGGAATGTTGAAGGCTGCTTGAGAACTTGATTCATTTATTTACAAAAATAAGGTCAATGTAACCCATTTCAAATACTATGATTTATTAATTAAAATGCTTGTTAAAGGTATAATCTACTTGCAGAGTGATAGCCAAGAGTCTTGAACTTGATCAGTAGGTAAGAAAAAAGTCTGAGAGTAACTCTGAATAAAAATAATATGAATTGTTGATGTAATTTTAATAAAGCATTAAACCAAAAGATGGTTTCTGGAAAATCAAAAATTAATTTATAGTAAATAGCAAAGAGCAATAGCAGATTAAGAACCAAATTCGTTTCAATAATAATAAAAAAAAGAGTAAAGAGTCCGGAAAGATCCAAATCCTAACACTTATGTTGAGGACCTCAATTAACATTATGTCTCAACTCTTGGGTTTGGACATTGGCTTCCAATTTCATGATTTTCCTCCACATTTCTTTTTTTCAGGAAATAATCAGATTAAAAAGCACCCTGAAGGCTGGTATACATTTTTTTTTTCCAGAATGGCAAATCATAAAGAAAATAAAATTATATAGCTTGAGCCTGGCCGGTATGGCTCAGTGGTTGAGCATCAACCCATGCTCAAGAGGTCGCTGGTTTGATTCCCGGTCAGGGCACATGTCCAGGTTGTGGGCCAAATTCCCAGTGGGGGGCATGCAGGAGGCGGTCAGTTGATGCTCTCTCTCATCAATGTTTCTATCTCTCTCTCCCTCTCCCTTCTTCTCTCTCTAAAATAAATAGAGAAAAAAATAATATATATTGACAGAAGAATGCTATTTAGAAAAGTATAAGGACTTTTCATATTTGATACCTTTTGAAAGACTTTGAAGTAGACTTTCAGGGGGCTCCTGCCTTTCTGACCAGTAGTTCCTGTTTGGTATGCCTGTCATATTTCTGACTGCTTCAAACTGCTCTGGACTGAGACTTCTCATTTCAGCTGTGAAATGAATGCAGCTCCCTATGGAAATAATGACTAAAACCCATTGTTTGATGCTTGAGAACAAACGGCCATACTGACACCCACATATAACACCCTGACGGCTGTCCAAGCCTGAGATGCTCCTTCAGTAAAATTCTTATGTGGACATCTCGAATTCGGCAACCTTGGTACACTGAGGTAGTCGGTTCGAAGACACAGCAAGTTCATAAACTGTACTTGTAGTTCAGTTGAATGGGTACCAAGTCGATCAAAATTAAATATAAAAAAAGTTGGCTACTGATGCTGATCAGGAAGACATGAGTTGAAGAAGCAACAGTTTGCGTGGAATAGAGTTGTGAATGAAGTACAGAGCAGGAAAACATGGGATAACATTGCTGCAGGTCTCTCGGATTCTGTTGTGATCACTTGTAAATACATTTAGGTTTGGGATAATTTGATGAAACTAAATTTTTAAAAGCTAAACTTGAATAATGATGATATTATTGTAAAATATAGTTCTTTTTTGAGGGGGAGGGGTGGATTTTTTTGGAAAAGGAATTAAGTACTCTTTCCTTGATTCTTTTGGCTACTCCTGGGTGGCTATTCTGATCAAGTTTCCTGTCCTGGTCAACATTCTCCATAATTCACCTCTATTTCTCCTCTAGATAACAGCTGCCCCTCAGCAATGTCCAGCTCTGGTCTCTTTCTTCTCTCCATCCTCGAAATCAGTGCCAAATCAGAAAAAGAGAAAGGACTCATAAATTTAAAAAGTACTGTAGGGCACTTTTTTTTTTTTTTTTTGAGAGGTTAGAGCTAGTTTTTCAAAAGGATCTTGAAAATTAGGTTAAGAATCATGGACAATGTTTAACATTTGTGTCAGTTTCAATGACTGTGAACCATTAAGGGAAAACAAATATTCTGTATGCCTTTAGTTCGTGCTTAGATTCGTTCCCCTTTTGGAAAGAATAGGAAGAACCACAACGACAGGAGGAATCAGCTCAACCTACAGATGTTATCTGGCACTAGAAAGGGACAAAGAATTAAGAAGGGAAGTCAGATAGTTTTAAGTCCAAATTTGACTCCATTGGGATTGGTGGGGGATGGGAGGAGAGTTTTCTTACACACAGGAAGAGTCCATGATAACTGTACATTTGGCTATGGATTTAGTATTTCTAACTGTAGATCAGCAATCTAGATTCCAAAAATAAAGTTCAGAGAAGACCTCGTTGCCCTTCACTGGACAGTTTTCAGTGCCCCAACTTTTGTACCTTCTATAAATGGGGAACTTCTTTTTTTTAATTTAAAAATTGTAATGTCATTATTACAGGTGTCCCTCTTTCTCCCCTCCTTTGCCCACCTCCCCCCACCCCCACATCCCACTCTCTTGGCCTTCACCAAACTATTGCTGGTGTCCGTGGAGTATGCATATATGTTCTTCAGCTAATCCCTTCACCTTCTTTATCCTGTCCCTCCTCCCACCCGCACCCCCACCCCAGGCACTGAACAGTCTGTTCCAGGTTCCACACTTCCAGTTCCACTTTGTCAATTTATTTTGTTCGTTAGATTCCACATTCGTGATATCACGTGGTATTTGTCTTTCTCTGACTGGCTTATTTCACTTAGCGCAATACTCTCCAGTCAGAGCTGCTTGAATGATCACTTTGACCAAAGCGTAGTTGCTGACAGCATCCACTCTCCCTTTATCATTTCCAGCTGTGTAATCAGAGATCAGCCTCAGCTAAAGTCTGAATTTTCCAACTCCTCTCAGAACTGAACTTACACAGAAAGTATCACTATTAACTCCTTGCCACCTAATCCTTTTTGTTGTCTCCCCACCCCTCAAGTTTTAGCCATCAACTAGCATTCTGGATAAGGGGTCAAAATTCCCAAAGTGACAGACTCCAGTCATTTGCCCAAACCAAACCCAGAGACAGAATGCGTCTGTTGAATGGACTCTGCTTTCCTTGTGCGTGAGACTGCAGTGTGAAATGTTTTACATCCGCCGTATGTCTGCCAGTTCTCCTGGTTCTGTTTGTTACATGTAAAAATCTTCTCCATTCTATTTCAGCTACCTCTTTTTTTTTTTTTTTTTTTTTTTTTGCTTTTAACAGAAGTGCTGGCATACAACTTACCTCCAGGAATAGCTCAAAGTGAATGCTCTCAATTTAGTCACGAGAATTATAGTTCTGTCCTTTCTGAACATGTACTCCCCCAGTCTCTGGGATCATGAACCTATAGGAGCCAGGTGGTTTCAACTCAAATGAGCCTTGCAGGACATGTAGAAAGGAGGGTATTACATCAACCATAGGTACTCACATTCTAAGCCATAAGAATTCTATTTATCTGTAAGAACGTCTCTTCCCTTGACAAGGAAAGTTTTGTAAGCAAAGCTTAACTCCTGTATATGAAAATGCATGCCTGTGTATTTCGTAGGTCAAGAGGGTTTTCAAACAACGACGATAACTTATAAAAATGGTAGAGAAATGTGATACAGCTTTCAGGATGGAAAATATCTCCTGGCAGGAGTTATACAATATATTGAAAAGAATCCTAGAGAGCCCCTGCATGATCGTTCATGTCTCATCATACAGTTCTGTTTCTGAATCTCTTTCTTGGTCAAGTCAAGAAAAATATAAACACAGTTTTCCCTTTTCAGATCACTGATCAGATTAATGAACGTGTTGAAGGAGCAGAATTGGAGTAGAAACATTAGCTCCCCGTGTTACTTTGTTAACAGTGCAGGTTAGCGGGTTGTGCACCTTCTAGAGGAGATGAATTAGGAACCTTGGTCCTGAGCATGAGGACAGGTGCCGATGATGCCGGGCTCTCTCAGTCCCCATCCCGGGGCTGTGTTTACTTACAGAAGCACAAGCTGAGTTCTCGGACTTGTCTTCCACGAAACCGATCCGGCAGGGGGTCCTCTGGTTCTGCAACCAGTAGTCTGTAGACTCGAGCAGGCTGTTGCTTCGAAGCACCTGAGGGAACCGAGATACCTTCTCAGTGCTATTTGGCAAGGTTTTCTGTTTAAGCAAGCAGCTCTCCTCTAAAGAAACGAGGTGTTTTCTTTTCCCCGGAGCCTCTGGATGTGAGAAAGAACTGGCAGGAAATAGCACCTCTAGACTGTGTAGGATACTCAATCAGGAATTGACGTTAGAGGAGCACACTGATGTTAATACTGGGGTTCCCTCTCTCCTCCAATCCAGTATCTGGAAACTCAATGTATGTGCGACTTTTGTAAAATTGCAGTCAAATGCTAGTTCAGGGGAGTGGTTCAACTGGCAATGGAGATCAAACTTCATTTCAGTGAAAGGGCTCTCACTAAATATGTTCAGTTTTGCGAAGTGGTGTGTTTTTCCTTTCCAATGTCATTCTTCAGTTCTTCCTCTTTGCTAACTTACCTGGGAAACGACACAGTTCTTCTAGAACACCTATGGTACTACGTTGAGTTTAAAAATTACTAGAAATGAGTACAGTGCATGACAACCACCATTTTTCCACTGAGAAATATTACAGTAATGCAATGCACACTTGAGTATGTGATTTAACAAAACCAAATATAATTTACAAATACCTTATTTCTGGGTTTGGATTAAAGCAAGAAAGAGAAATCATATTTCTTAGCCAACACATTTTGAAGATGCAGTTTCATAAGTAACTAAATTATTCCATTTCTTCCATGTCCAAACACTGCCTAAATATTTCATAAGATTTTCTCATCCTGTGTAAGATTTCCAATGCTCTCCTGGTACCCTTTACTTTAGTCGAGTACATGTCTGCTAACATTTGGCAAGTACCTTTACCTAAGCAATACAACATGTTTAGTAGGGTGGTTAATGCCAGAAAAATAGAATGACACTTCAAATACATTTTATTTGTGCAAAAAGGGACAGTCATTCTCTAAAGATAAAAATACAGTAATTTTTGTCTCTGAAGAGTGAGCTAACCAAATATATTTCTGACACATTTTTCTATAACGTTTTTGTTTTAGCCAAGTGATATAATTACCTTTAAATCTTTTCCCACCCAATGTTTAGTATTACCTAGAGATGACATGTGTTCATCATTCTTTTCTAGAACAGTATAAAGAGATGCTTTGTGAATGAGCAGGTAGTTGAGGGATGAATTTGGGTTATCACTGCTGACTGAACTTGGCAATAGAACCTCTCAGCTCTCTTACAGATTTCAGTGGCTCTCAGAGTGTGAGCAGGGACTCTGAGGGGTCCCCGAGATCTTTCAGGGAGTCCAGTGATCAAATGATTTTTATAATAACAGCAAGATGCTATTTTCCCTTTTCAATCTTGAGGTCTCATGAGTACTCAGTGGAGTTCTCCAAACTCAACATGGCCTGTGATAGATCAACAGAATGAATGCAGAAGCAAAGCTCCCTAGCAATTCTGACTAAAATGTTTTGTTTTGGAAAACAGATACATTGCATAAAAATATCTGTGTTCACCTGTGATATGGTTATTTATTACTCTTTTAAATTTATTTAAAAAAATAGATTATTTTAAATGGTATTATTATTTAAAATTAAATAAATAATTAAACATAAACCATTTTTTACCTTTAATTTATAATGTCGAATATGGAAATATCAATTAGTATAACCCCTATAAACAAAAGTTTTGTGAGGTGCCCAATACGTTATTTTTAGAGTGTAAATAAATTTAGATTTAAAAAAATTTGAGAACCATTGACCTAGATTAATTTTATTTAAAGTAAGAAATAGGCTCCTAGTCCACCTCCCCATCACCATTCATTTTGATTTCCAGCATTTAGTAAAGTTTAAGAGCATGGGCATTAGTGGTCTAACTGGGTTGAAAACGTAACTTGGTCATTAGGAGCCAGGTGAACTTGGGCAGTTGACGTAAATTCTGAGTTTCAGTTTCCATGTCTGGGAATAGAGATAACAATCCCCCCCGGGGGGTCGTTGGGGTATTCAGTGAGTTGGTAAATCATGCAGGTGATAGGTTATTCTCTCAATACACGGTTTTCATTGTTACCCTTTGAGACAGACCACAAAGGAAAATAGAAACTTGGATGCTTTCACCTGAAATTAGTGGATAAAGAGCTTTTCAGATCTGAGAAGATAAAATTTTTTTTAGCAAATATTCTCATCTAAGGTGCGATTTTAGTTCTGCATTTTGTAGTATTAGAAGTCACAGCAGCTATTTCTCCCATGCTTAGAATATGCTGGGAAATGGGCTAAAAGGTTCGTATATTTATTTATTTATTTTAGTTTAAAATTTAATCTTCATTGCAATGCTAAAGGTAGGAATTCTTGCGAAGGGTAGACTCTTCCCGGAAACTGCCATTTTGAATATGACCTTGAGGCTCAGAGGTCTTGGCATCTCTGCCCAGTTTGCTCCACCCACCTTCGGGTTTGGCTTTGGAGACACCAAGGCCGGTGAAGTCATGGAACCGTGCTGCTTCCACACGCCACGCAAACGGGCCTACTTTGGGGCGTGTTTCTGACAAGTTACGAGTAGCTAATCTTTGTAAATGTAACTATGTTTTCTATGGACTTCCAATGTAAAGTTAGTTTTCATTAAGAAACGCTGAGGTGACATTTTTCCGTCAGAAGAAGAAACTTTCCGTGATGTAAATTATAATCGAATTCATCCACTTGACAATTTCATCCTAATTTCCCAGAGGAAAGCGTACCTTTCCCTCTGCTTGAGGAACATTAAACCAGACCCAGGGCATTATGCTTCTGCTCCTCGCCCTGCTTTGAGCTTTAGAATTCGGAACACCCATCAATAAAACAAAACTTCTGCATGTGCCATCGTACGAACATGGGGGATTGAAATAGGCATCACATGAATAGACCAGTTAATAGTTAATACTTTACAATGCAGTTGAATGAGTCCTCTGACTGGTATCACTTCTTTCCTTTGGCCTCAAAAATTAAGATCAGGACTTTTAAAAAAAATTGTTATTGATTTTAGGGCAAGATGAAGAGAGAGAGAGAAAGACAGAGAGAGAAACATCGACTTGTTGTTCCACTTATTCATGCATTCATTGGTTGATTCTTATATGAGCCTGACCAGGGGTCAAACCTGCAACCTTGGCGTATCGGGACAGCACCCTAGCTCTGAGCTACCCAGTCAGGGCCCACACTTCATCTATATTCCAATGTATTCAGGGCACCATAGACCATGTTTGCAACAAAATATGTCAACAGAAGAAAGCAGCTGCCACTTAGAGCATGTGAATTATTCTGCTCCTAGGTCAGCCTCAGGAGAACGGAGTCCAGACACACGCACTGGGATCTTTCAGAGGGGTGGTGGGCTGGGTCGGCATACTTCTCTTGTGAAATACAGAGAGGCAGAGACAAGGCACCTTAAAGCATCAGCGTGGCCCTTTGTGCTGCGAGATTCCCAAAGTGTGCAAGAGCGGTCTGATGATAGGACTGAGAGAATCGCGGGCTTCCTGTTGAGTTTCTTCTGGGAAATGAGCACAGTTAGGGTGAGTAATCTGTCGAGTCTTCTACTTTAAGGGTACCTTTTTCGTGCCTATTTTAAAAATAAATAATAACTGAAGCTAGACAAAGACCTGTCTCACCCAGCCCTAGGAGTGAGGAAAAAGTCAGCAGCCTATGGGCCTGCTTACTCTGCGGAAAGTACTAGAAAGACTTCGCACTGGGCTGTTCCATGTCCCGGGTGTGTTCTCCAAGCTACACCTGTGCTTTAGGGAAGCAAGCCTGGCAGAGCAAGGAGGTGGGACCGGAAACAAAACCTGATCTCTCGACGCTTAAGAGACGTTTGGAAGAGAGTGTCTTTGTTCTGTAGGAGGATCCATTCACTATGTAACCCTTAAACTTTAAAGTTGATTCATCATAATTTAAAAAACAGTGCACATGATCATATTAATAATTAAAATAGAATAAGTTCTTCCCATTTATTTTATAAATGTTTAGAGATTATTCATTATTTAAAACTTACATTCTTTAATTATTGACCCCCCCCAAAATGTACAACATTTACTGAGAACTCTCTGGAATAATTCAGATAATATGTATTATCTGAATTAAATCTGAGGACTTATGAGGTAGAATTTAAGGGTGAATATATTTTATGTGCTTAAAAACAGTGCCTGAGCCCTGGCTGGTTTGGCTCAGTGGTTAGAGCGTCGGCCCGTGGACCAGAGAGTCCCGGGTTCAGTTCCCGCTAAGGGCATAGACCTTGGTGGCAGTTTGTCCCTGGCCCTGGTTGGGGTCGGGTGGGTGGCGACCACTTGATGTGTCTCTCACATCGATGTTTCTCTCTCTCTCTTCCTCCCTCTCTCCCTCCTGCTCTATCTGAAGATAAATGCAAAAATGTCCTCAGGTGAGGAATAAGAAACAAAAACAAAACAGTGCCTGGCACACAGCAAGGACTCAGTAAACACTGGCTAACATGGAAATGATTGCTCCCTGAGCCCAGGCTTGGAGGGGTTGACATTTGTCCGGTTCGTGGATAACTAGGATTTGAGCCAGGCTCTCTGGCTCCCGTTAGGCAGTCTTCATTGCAAGTTGGTAAAATTACATAATTTCTCATTCTTGGGTTTTTCCAGATCCTGGTCTACGCATTTATCCTCCTCACCCTCAGGGTCTGGGTGGTTGGGAGGGTTGGGCTCCAGTCCTGATCCTGCTGTCTGTGTGGTCAAGTCAGCTTCTAGCTCCCAGCCTCAGTTTGCCCTTTGTGAACAATCAAATCAAGTCATCTGAAGGTCCCTTCTACCCAAACATCCTGTAATTCACCCCGCCCTCCACCACTTACTCCCTCTTCCTCCCTTTTCCCAAGTACATTAAGAGCCAAAAAAGCAAATAAAATAAAAATACAGGCTTCAATAAACCACTTAGCATCATATGTAAAGCAATTATAACCTGTGAAAAACTTTTGGTTTAATGGTTTAGGCAAACCATTAGAAAAAGAAAAATGCTTGAAGGAAGAATATGTGCTTGAGAATTTAATGATGTTGAAGCTTTATGAAT